GGCGGGAGCGCCACAGCGCTTCCCAAGCAGCGCACTTAGCCAGTGCGCCACCGGGCCGGCCCCGAGCCAACTTTTTATATAAAGAGCCATGTGGTTCAGAGAGCTGTCATGACCAGCTCAGTTAGGGGTCATGCCAGGACAAAAACCCAGATTTTCTGGGCTAGGTTCTGTCCACCACGCTAAAGTCAGAACTAAACTAAATAATGAGAGTTTAGTGTATAATATGGGGAGGAACAAGAAACAAAAGCATAAAAGCCACATTTCTTACTTCCCTGCCTGTGGCTTGTCAGTCTGTTGACGTTTTTAGAAACTTCTTGGAACACACACCTATGATAGGTTCCATGGAAAATATTCAGAAGATACCTGGCTTTTTTTCTTTCACATGTAGGCCAGCAAGCTCCTAGAATATCCTTTTCTTTCCTGATCTCTGGAAAACTCCATGAGTTATTAAACCTCATGTAATAAGTGATCCAAAAGTATTACTTATGTGAATATTTATTAGGGATCCTATTTATGTCATAGAACAAAGAACAAGGAGAATGGCGCAGGGAATGTTTTTCTTTAAAAGCATGCCTACTTAGAGAAATAAAATATTCAGCTTTCCCAAATTTTTCTTTAAGAATAAGAGATAGTAATATGTTCAGTGAATAATATGCATGTCAAACAGCATGTCGCAGCTTAGTTCAAGTTTAAGAAAATAGTCAAAAGAGAGAGCATAGTAAGAATTATAGCTGTCATTTATTGAATACCAGTTTTATGCCATGGACTAAAGTTGAAGACACACATTACCTCTGATCCTTAAAACAGCCCTACAAGTAAGGTGGTGTTATCCCCATTTTAAAGGAAAGGAGCAGGATCAGACAGGCGAACTTGCCCAAAGTCTGGTAGCTGATAAGTTGGACATTATACCTACCTAGGTCTGTGAAGCTGCAAATCCTGCCTTGTAAACTTTTATTCATTCATTCATTCAACAAGCATTTCTTTGAAGCCTACTATATGCCACAAGTCTATGTGAACATAAGATATAGTTCATACTCCTCCGGGATCTAGAGAGGCAACACATATAAATAAATAATTATAGTAATAACTGTTCTAAGTGGGGGTGTGAACAGCCACATAGTATAGGAAGTGGCTGATTGCCTGGCAAGCATCAAAAAAGCTTCAGAAAGAATGTAGTGTTTAAGTTGGGCCATAAGGAAGGACCAGAAGTTTAGTGGAGAAGATGAAGAATACATTTGCCGTATAAGTAGGTAGAAAAGTTGGGCCCAGACCAGATTCTGAGAGGGGTATTTGATGCCACATTTAGACCTCATCCTCAGGAGATCCGGGAGTGAATGGTCTTCAAAGCAGAAGACTGCCATGCCCAGATTTGGCTTTTGGAAGGTCAGTGTAGCAGCATTGTTCGATGTGGTTTGACATGGAGAAAGGGGCAAGCGAAACCGAGTAGGAACCTGCTGCAGTGGTTTAGGCAAGTGAGGAGGAACTGAACAAAGTCAAGAAAGTGGAGGAGACTTACCGAATTCTGGAGATCTTTATGGCAGGATTTGGGGACCATTTGTTTGACAGGGGATGAGGGAGAGGGAAATTTCTCTGCTGACTTCAAGTGGTACCCTGGCCCTGTTGCTAATCCGTTCCTTTTCCCTTGTCTTGTGAGTCTAAGGCAATGTGTATATCAGTTAGTTTTTACTACATAACAAATCACCCCAAAACTTAGTGACTTAAATTAACAACTATTTATCTCATGATTTTGTAGTTCAGCTGGGAGGGTCTTCAGGTCTGCACCAGCTCAGCTGATCTCTGCTAGGCTTGCTTGTGTTGTAGAGTCAACCAGCAGACTGGCTGGAGGCTGGGTGATCTAGGATGATCTTACATGTTAGCAGGCTGTCAGCTGGGTGATGGAGCCACTAGGTCTTATGATCTAGCAGGCTTGCCCAGACTTCTCAGTCTCAGGGGTCCAGGAACAGCATGAGAGGAAACTTCTGGCATCACAGCTGCATTCTTTTGGCCAAAGCAATTTGCATGGCCAGTCAAAATTAAAGATTGGGGAAATGGACTCCGTCTTTTGATAGGAGTAGGTACAAAGAACTGTGGCCATTTTTGCAGTATACCATCATGGATGGTTGCATTTACCATACTTGTGTTTTTGTTTTCCAGGCACAAGTGCACTTTTATATATTGGCATTTGTTGCAAGAGACAATAGTCACCAAATGAAAAATACATTATTTTAGAAAGCGTACCATAGATGGGATGAAATTAAGCAAAGTTGCCTTCCTCTGAATTAAATAATTTATTGACCAAGGACCTGTTTATTCTTTATCATCTATAAGTAATTATCAGTACTAAACTTTCTTTTTAAGTTTAAGAGAGTATATTACTGCTTTATAATAAATGATAGTTGTTTACAATCTGTTCAGGTATATTTGAAACTCACGTTTGTAGAGCAAGATGTATGTGATTCAAATATATTTGTACATATTGTAAGTAAATATTATTTAAAATATACTGAACCTAATTTTAAAGAGGAAAAACATTATATTCGTATAGTGCAAATTGGAATCCATTGGGAAATCATTAGTCTGGATACTGACGAACCCTAAAACAAAGTGTTAATTTGGATCATTGAAAAGAAATATATTGGTATCGGTGAACTCTGGTGCAAAGCAGAGTTTCAGTTGTAATAAATTTAGATTTAAAATATAAGGAAATGATCCCAGATTCTACACTAAGTATGGCCCAGGGCCTACCATTTTAAGAAAATTGCTGGTAGGATATGCATTGGTCATTTGCTGTGTTTCGTGTTGCCCTGCTCTGCCACTCGTGGGAGGTCTCATCTACTGTGTTACATTTTCAGTGTCTCCCCCCTCCCTTCATAATAATATAGGGATGTTGAGTACAGGATAGTTTTTGTATTCATTTCTTGTGCTTAAGAAATATGCCAGTAAATCTTGTATTTTCTAAAGCATATTCCCCCCCCAAAAGATTTGGTATTAGCTCTCTTCAGTGTTCCTAGCCACTGATATCAATAGCAGATATTCTTTGAGCACTGGATGCCCCACACAGTGCTAAGCACTTGTTCCAAGTTACTTCATTTAATCCTTACAGCAGTCCTGTGAGGGAGTGGCTACTTTTTTCTCCCATTTGTCAGAGGAAACAAAGGCCCCAAGGGCTTAAACACCTTGCCCAACTAACACAGCAGATGATGGCAAATGTAAGTGCTCGACTTCCAAAAGCCTCTTCTGCCACACTGTTTCCTGCACAGATGCCAGAGCCTTGATGCCTGTTGTTCACTACTGAGGAGGAAGCAGGCCATGTCTGAGTGATACTTATGATGTTTTCCTCGCATCTGTTTATTTTAGCTCCTTCTTAGACTATACATGTCAGTTATGCTCCTGTTTTAGGAACTCAACAGATTTTAGTGCTAAGTGCTCCTGAGTTTTAAGGAGTTAATGCAGGGCTGGATGGCTAGTTCAGTTGGTTAGAGCGCAGCCTGGTAACACCAAGGTCAAGGGTTTGGATCCCTGTACTGGCCAGCTGCCAACAAAATCGTTTTCCTCACATCTGTTTATTTTAGCTCCTTCTTAGACTATACATGTCAGTTATGCTCCTGTTTTAGGAACTCAGCAGATTTTAGTGCTAAGTGCTCCTGAGTTTTAAGGAGTTAATGCAGGTCTGGCTGGCTAGTTCAGTTGGTTAGAGTGCAGCCTGGTAACACCAAGGTCAAGGGTTTGGATCCCTGTACTGGCCAGCTGCCAACAAAATAAATAAATGAAACAATGCAGATTATATCATTGTTCTGAATGTCCATCATACCTTTTCAGAATGAGCTTCCTGAACCTGAACAAGACAACGGGGGCACCACAGAATCTGTCAAAGAACAAGAAATGAAGTGGACAGACCTAGCCTTACAGTACCTTCATGAGAACGTTCCCCCAATTGGAAACTGACACTTGGCTTCTTTCTTACAAAAAATACATAGCTACAAAGTGTTTTCTTTCAGTCTCTTAATTGAAATCTTTGAGTAATAAATCAACACTCAAAAATGTACACCTACTTAGTGTGTGGCAGCAAAGTTCAATGGAAAAATATACAGCAGAATAAGAAACTGAGATTTCTCAGAAATACAGAACATTTGACTCTTTAAGCCTAAAACTCTTCATTTCTAGCTTATGTTTGAACATGATCAGTTAAACATTTGCCATTAACTCTGATTTTGCTTTACTGTCAAAATCTAACACTTCCCAGCTACTGTGTTTATCCTGTGATACAGGTGGTTGAACATGTGAAAGGGAAAGGCAAAGGGAGAGGAAGCCAGACAGAAGGAGGACGATTGACTTATCTTCCTCCACCTTGAGAAGCATTCTAAATGGATTTAGCCTGTGGATGTTACGGGTACATAGATCTCGTTCCCTGATTACTGGGAATCCTAAGATTCCTCATACTCTTTTCAAACTTTGGATAAACTTACAGATTAAAAAGTTATCTGATAGTTACCTTTGCTCTCCCTAAAAGTTCCTTTGGTGCCACTGGAAAAGGTCTTTGGCTAGGTGGGTTACTGTTTTTATCTAGTAATGGCATTTCTTACTTTCTCAAAGCCATTTCAGATATAACCAAAACACTATCAAGTCAGTATTTAGTGATACATTTGTATAAGAACTTGTATTTTGCAAAACACATTTGTGTATAATTATCTCCTGAAATTATTTACCTCTGTCAAACAGTATCTTTCATGTTCTCTACCTAGACTTAAACTCTGTGGGAAGAAGCCCTGGCTTATGCTTCTGTATCCCTTACTGAAAAACTGAAAGCACAATAATTGAAATCTCTTCTCATCCTTTTTTTACTGGGTCTTTTTGTTTACCTAGCTTTCAGGAGGAAGAAGTGCGTCACAAAACCAGTGAGCTGACTTTAGGGTCTCAGTCAGAAACAGTTGTAGCAGCTATCCTGTAATCCAAACATGACCAGGCCAATCTCTTCTCTGTGAATCAGAGGTCCTGCCTAGAAATCATTCATCTTCAGAGTAAAGACCCCAAGGCACTAGTCCTTCAATAGCCAAAGAAAGACAACCTAGTAGGAAAGAGAATTAGGATGTTTAGGGGAAAAAAAATTTTACATGAAGAGAAAACAAAACTTTTCAAAAAATTAAAGTACCTAGAAAGCCACAGTTCTTTCACATTCTCCTTAAGTGAGGACTTTACTACAACTTATTTGTGGTATATAATATCTAAGACACTAACATCTAGGAACTTGGTGATTGTTCATATGAATCCAGCCCAGCCTTTCACAGGAATATTGGTAGACCATTAAAAATATGGAAGTTGTCCTGATTTTCAACTAAATCAGAACAGCTGTTGTTTTGTCTGCAGTTCATGACCCTCATCAGAGAACTGCCTCCATCCCCAGGAATGGCCTCATTGGCTGATTTTGTGACCTGTGATATGGTGCCAGATTATGCTTATTGTATCAGGAATTAGGTGACCTAACCTGGGCCAGTCAGATTCTATCAACTGGGGCTTTGGAATCTGTCCACCTAGGACTAGCTTGAGAATCATGGGCGCCAGAGATGCTAAGCTGCTGGTATAGGGGGGCTTTCTTCAACATCCAGTGGTACTTGAAAAAGTTCATGGAAAGATTTGCATTCTCTTTTAATTCTGTTTCTCAAGTACCCTTTCATGTACCAAAACACCTAAGAAAGAAAGTGTCTGCAGAGGGAAGCCGAGAAGCTATGTGACCCCTGGTTCCCACCAGCTTTTCAGCTCAAAGCATGTATTGGTCTCCTCTGTGGCAGGTACCATACTTGGTGCTGGGAATAAAGCAGTGAACAAAACAAGTATGGCTTCTGCCTTCATGGAGCCTCCATTTAGTGGGGGAGACACAAGCATTAAACCAGTAGCATACACATCTATGATTTCAAATAGTGACATATGCCAGGAAGGAAAATAAAGGATGTGACTTAGGTTGGATTCCTAGAGGCAAAGCCTGAGGCAGAGTTTCTTGTGCAAGTCATTTATTGAGGTTCTCAGGAGAACCTTGTGAAGGAAGCAGAATAGGGCAGGAAAAGAAGCTGAGCAAGAAGTGGTTTCCACTGCAGTCTGGCCTCAGCCTGATGCCACCACTCTGGACCATGATGGCATCAAGAGTTTTCTTGCGTTGAGGCAAGGGGCTAGGCCTTTGTGCTCAGTATGAATTGGTCGGTCATTGGCTCTGCCCTCCCTCCATCCCCCAGGGTGAGCATAACCTATCAGGCATTGCCAGGGGACAGCACAGCTGTAGGCCTTTGGCAGCCAACACACAGTAACTGGGAACGGATACACAGATTAGGTAAAGGGAATGTGGGCACCTGTGGTGGCTACTGCAGGGTATAGAAGAGTATGATTGGGGGAACCTGATTTATATTGGATGGATAACCAAAGGGAGACCATGTGATGAGTAGCTTTTATAGCACACCGTTTGAAATATTGATTTTGTTTCTGGATCTTTTCCACTTTCCAAGGAAGTGGCCGGGTCCTTTATGCTTCCTGTGCACAGCAGAAAGACATGCTCAAAAGCAGCCCCTCCCCTTGTCTGAGAAGCAAGGAAGAGAAGAGTCTCCTGAGCCAGGAGCCTTAGAAGTAGTGGAAAGCTGTGCCCCACTCTCTGGTGGTACCCTGGTGAGATAGATGATGAACTTCAGAGGTTCATGGTTTGTGGGGTGCCCTGGAAGAAACCTGAACCTCAACACTGAGTCTTCCAGCCTAAGAGAAGACACCCAAGCATTCGAACCACCTCCTTCAAGCGCCCCCTCAGACTTGGCAATGAGGATAGCAGCAAGGATAGATAGGACCCAGAGAGCCTGAAGAGTAGAGGTCTCTACCTGTTTTCCAGGTCTCTTATGAGCATCCTAAATGCAAGACCCTAAGAAGGGGAAAGGACACCCCAGTGACCAGAGATTTAATTCCTACTGCAGTGCAGTAGAGTGGGGCCAAGTAGATTTAATTTGCTCTGAAGAAAATAAGAAAATGTAATATTTCTTGTGCTCTTCTTGAGTTTGTGAGCCAACACCTGAAGGATGAGTAGGAGTAGCCAGGAGAAGAACTGGGAGATGAGGACCGATTACAGAGAGAACGAATTGCATAAAGCCTCCAGGAGGTAGGACCGGCATTATAAGCAAGGTGGGTGGGTGGACAGAGGTCTTGTTAATAACTTTAATCTAAATCATTGAAAGGTTTTAACCAGAAATGGAGAAGTGGCCTGATCAGATTTGTGTGTGTTTGTTTATTTTAAAAAGTCACATTGGAAAATGGATTTGAAACAGTAAGCACAGAAGTGGAAAGACAAATTATAAGAGCTATGCATTGGTTCACATGAGAAGATGGTGGGTCAGATTAGCAAAATGGAGGTCGAAGTAGTGGGACTTGGGGATATCTCTTAGAGATAGAATTGTCCAGACTTGCCCAGTAAGAGGTGTATTTCATGAAGCCAGTGCCCTGGACCACAGTTTTGTGATTCTAAAGAGACTCTAGTACCCAATGTGAGCACTGCCCTTATGACCCAGGGGTGAGTCCTCTGAGCCAGACACTGGATTAAGAGGCAGTCTCTATCCTCTAGAAATAGAGTCTGAGTCTAGCAGCTGCCCATCCTTTGAAGCCCAACTTAGACCCACATCGTAATAGTATGGTAACAATGACACCATGATTAATCGAGCACTTCTGTGTGCTTTCCACATGTGAGCTCTAGCCCTTGCATCCACATTTTAGGTGGATATCATTGTCCTCACTGATCAGAAGATGGTGACTTCAAATTAAATGACTTGTTCCAAGTTAAAGGACTGACTCCAAATCATTCAAATAGTGAATGCATTCCAACCTAGGCTGTCTGATTTCAAAACCTGTGTCCCCTCCCTGGACCATGTTACCTCCCCCATAAAACATTTTGTGACCTCCCTCTTCTGAAATGGGAAGAAAATTGTATCAGTACACTCAGAATTTCAAAATGTTTACCTTGTTTCTATAACTGAGACAAAAAACTGAAATAATTTTGATTAGGACCATGGGATTCATGAAACATTTAAAAATCCACCCTATTGCCAAACTCATATATAACTCATAACTTTGCCACCATGAGACATATCGCTGTCACTGGTTTTTATACAATGTTAAATTCTTAAAATATATTTACAGATTTGGTGCACTGAGAAAGCACAGTTTAATGTCAGTGTTGTATAGTACCCCGCAGGGGGCGCTCAGTTCCTTCTAGAAAGTTTGAAACACTAGCCGGTCTTTAAGTCAATTCTGAAACTGAAGATCCTGAATGAATGCAGTCTTTTGCTTGGAAGTGAATCTGCATATCTGGGTTGCCCGAAGTGCTGGCTAGAGGTTTGTGTGAGGCGAGTGCAGCCTCCCCGTGATTCTGGCCGTGAGCAGCTCATGCAGTGGCTCCTCACCTGTGTTTTGTGGAGGGCCCAGTGAGGGCACATGGGCAATGAGGGCAGTTCCGAACTTCGGTTACAGAAAAAGATGGTCGGAATCAGAAACTCTGCCTGCCCGTGACCCCAACTCATATTCATAGTCAGTCCCTCAGCTCTTTCATTAAGCTATTTCTCAGGTCTGTGTGTGAAATCACTCAGAGAATTTAGGCATCACCCTGTAATAATCCATTCAGCTCTAAAAAGACTGTTTCCCAAAGCTTCCTTTCTTGATTTGTCCCTGCTTAGCCCACAGTTAAATCCATGCCCCAACTACTCACGATGCCGTACTCTATCAGTGAGTTCCTGCGGAAAGTAGCAAGGTGGGCCTGGAAAGGCAATGGGGAGGTCTTCTGAGGGGGGCTTCATATCTTGCAGCCCTCCTAGCCCATGTGATGGATGGCCCTGGTCTCCATCTGTTAGCCAACCAGGGGTGGCCCTGCATGGTTGCACTGGGCCCCACACTCAGAAGGACCAGCATTTGGTAGAATGCTCTGTTTTCGTTGTCTTGAAACCCTTAACAATTTTTGAACAAGGCAGCCACGTTTTCATTTTGTACGGGACCCATACCTTATGTAGCTGATCCTTGAATCTACAGCAGCCATTTGTCAGGGTTCCATGTTGGATGTGATTAACTCGGCCCAGCAAATGCCCTCACCTTGTGAGTGAGGACTCAAGGCACTGTGAGTGTCAGCCTTTCA